TCCTCCCTCCTCCTCCTCCTCCTCCCTCCCTCCCTCCTCCTCCTCCTCCTCCCTCCCTCCTCCTCCCCCTCCCCTCTCCCCCTCCCCTCCCCTCCCCTCTTTTTTCTTCTCCTGTCCTCCTCTACCTTAGCAAGGTCGCGTAGATTGAAGGTGTAATGAGATTTCAGCGGAGTAGGAAGGAGCTCCTTGGAGACAGTCGTGAAGACTTCCAGAGTAGCCTGGGATGGGAACGATGAGCATGGAAAGTAAGACGAAGAAGAAAGGGGAGGAGGGCAGAGGAGAGCAGAAGAGAGCAGAGCAGGGAGAAGCGAAGAGAGGAGGAGCAAGACGCACGGAGCAGGGAGCAGGGGAGCAGGGGAGCAGGGGAGCAGGGGGGCAGGGGAGCAGGGGAGCAGGGGAGCAGGGGAGCAGGGAGCAGGGAGCAGGGAGCAGGGAGCAGGGAGCAGGGAGCAGGGAGTTACCTGGACCACAGGGTTCACCACGGCCCCGGCAGAGATGGAGGGGAACTGCTGCATGAACCAGTTGAGGATCGTACTGAAGATCCTACTCATCCCCTCCTCGTCGATTGGAGTGACGCTGATGATGTTGTACCACCTCGTGTACCTGCAAGTTATGTGCGTCCTCCCTCCTCCCGGCAGCCCCATGCAGGAGACAAACACCATGTCTATCAAGGTCCTCCACTCTATCTCCTTCCTGTCCCACCAGCCTCCCCAGTGCATCCATTGCCGCAGGATCTCGATAGGAGGCTGAGCGCCGTACGTCTCCTTGGCCGGCATGTTGAGGTCGTCGACGAAGACGACCATTTTCTTGCCCAGGGGAGGTCCAAACACTCCCTTCCTCCTCTTGTCCACCTTGCCATCGATGATGTCCTGAGTTTGATTGGCCTTGGTCTGAGCTGAGAAGTTCATGAAATGAGGGACTAACTTTTCTCCCATCCCCCTCATCAGCTTGTCTTTCACCATGACTGACTTGCCCGTCCCCGTGTCCCCGACGAACAGGCAGTGGTAGTCGTTGCTCAGCAGCGTCGTCATGATGCTTGTGTACCTGACTGTGTCCATCGTAGGGACGAGGATGTCTTGGAACTCAGTCCCTGCGGGTATCGAGTAGGAAGGGATCGTCTCCAGCCAGCCCAACCACCGTCCCTTGTGCTGGTCGAAGCACCAGTCGTACATGGACCCCTTGTCGGGGAGAGGAGCAGTCAGCTTCGGGGCCTCGGGGGAGGAGAGGAGGGTTCTTAGCGTCTCAGTCATCGACATCCTCCCCTTGAGGTCTGTACTGCATCCTACTGACCAGATCAGTGAGAACAAGAAACCTCCGTCCACTCGCTTCGCCGCGTCCCCGGGCCCGATCTTGCCGGCTTCCTCCGGGTCGTAGAAGGAGTCCAGCATGCACTTGAACAGCTTGAAGAGGCTCATCACCAGCTCAGTATCCTTGGTCACCACCGGCTCCTTGCACTCCCTGCGGAGGAGGCGGAGGAGGGGAGGGACGAAGTGGTCTAGGAGCTTGCTGATCTGCGCCTTGCTCCCTTCCAGGCTCGGGGGGAGCGTCTCGAACCAAGAGTCTCGCAGCTCCTGCCACTGGAACATATGCGGCTCCATGAGCACCATGCCGTTCCTCGAGACGGTGGCGGGGGAGGCGGCAGCGAGGTCCTCGGGCTCGAAGACCATGGTCATAGTGCTGGTGAGTTTGATGATCTCCCCTGAGTTGAGGCAGAGCTTCTTGTTGTCATCCATGACAGTGTTCATGTTCTCGATCCAGATCGCGTCCACGGGCCCATCAAACATGATCCACTTCCTCTTCACCTTGAGCTCAGCGCTCGTCTCCATCTGTGCACACTTGCGCACTAGCGACGCTCCGATGCCCTCGATCCACTCGCGCGACACAGGGTCGAAGTTGCCGTAGATCTGGTCGATGGTGATGGACTTGGGGTTCAGGCTGTACATGAGCACGTCTTCGAACTTGCTCTTGTCCTCTACGTTGCACATACCGTGCTGAAGGACCTTGAACACGCTCGTCTTCATCGACATTGTGAGCCCTACCACCATCAGGCTGTGCCGCACTGTGATAGTCTCGTACAGCTGGATGCACTTCTTGAGCAGGTTCGCCGTCGGCTGGACATTAGCAAACCCGTGCGTCTCTGGGCTCTTCTTGGTCAGCTCCCCGCACGCCTGCTGCATCCCCTCCATGAGGATCGAGTAGTCGGGAGAGGGGATCTTCAGCCCAAGGAACAGGTCGGAGGTGATCCCTTCAAACAGCGGCAGGTCTGCGTCGACGAACTTGGGAAGGTTCACATCGTTGATAGCTCGCAGTACAAGCACATCCTCCCTCTCCTCCAGGTACTTGAGCTTCAGCAGCCCAGCAGCCGTCAGGATCGACTTGACAGCCCTCATGCCGAAGTCGTAGTGGACCTGTCAAACGCGTCAGCAGCTGCGAGACCCTCCAACTCCAGCAGGCACCTGGGACGAGAGCTGCTCCGAGGAGATCTGGAGGCTCTTGACTAGCTTGCGGGCGAGGTCGCGGGCCTCGGAGAAGCCGTAGGAGTAGAGGCAGATTTCAGATATCATGGCGTAGTCAGGCACCATCATCGCACAAGGGCGGAAGAGAGCCTTGAGGTTGTCGGGGAGCTCGGAGCGACCGGCATACCCGGGGTTCATGGTGATGAAGGACGAGTAGCCCTTGATGCAGACTATGTCGCTGCCCTCGAAGAGCAGGCGGGGGAGGCCGCGGCGGATCGCGTCGTTGAGAGAGAGGATCTGCTGTGCGATCACAGAAAGTACCTCCAGGTCGATCCTGTTGAACTCGTCGAAGCAGGCCCAGGCCCCGCAGCTCGCAAGCCCCTTGAAGAACTTCGCCATGGCAAGGTAGTCAAGCCCGTCACTGCAGTTGAAGACGATGCACTGCTTCGCAATCGCCTTGGCAAGATCCTTCACCGTCTCAGTCTTCCCGGTCCCGGCCGGGCCCTCCGGGGCTCCTCCCAGGGAGAGGTGGAGGGCGCCGAAGAGGGTGCGGTAGCAGCGGTCAGTCAGCGGGGTGACAACTAGCCGCATGCTGTTGCCAAGGTACTCGTAGCCGTAAGCGAGGGACGCATTCATCATCCTAGTCATCACCACCTCCTCCCCCTTCCTGTGCCATGGCGCGTCGTAGCTGGCGACCTGCAGGTAGTACCTCAGCTGGGAGTTCCAGTCGAACTCCTCGGGGGCAGAGCAGTTGTTGCGGATGAGCAGAGTGACGACGTCCTTGTTGTGCACGTCCAGGACAACCATGGCCCCGAGGATCAGTCGCACCTGCTTCCCTATCGAACCTCGCACGAGCTGCACGATGTCAGCCAGCTCTGCCTGCATCCGTTCCTCCACCGCTGTCACCCCCCGCACTCCTCCCTTCCTCAGCGCCTCCTCCACGTCCTTGGTCCAGAACAGACAGTCCGCAGCCAGCACAATCATCCCCGTCCACTCCTGCACGAACTGAGTCCTGGCCGTGTGCTTGTACGCCTCGAAGGCTCTCTGTCCGATATCCTTGAGCGTGTCTCGCATCGAAGTCTCCATCTCCAGCAGCCATCGCTCGACACTCCCTCTGTTTCTCTCAGCATCCGGCTCCACCGCCGTTGCCAGGGGAACAACCTCTCCCTCCCCGCTGACCATGGCCAGGATGTCAAGGTTCTTCTCGCCGCTCTGCAGCTCCTGCGGCGTCTTGCCCCGGAACTGAACGTCGTTGATCGCCTCGAAGCACTTGGAGAGATGGGGCACCACCCGGCGGGGGTCCTTTGTCTCCGAGAGGATATCGAGGAGCTCGTCGTTGGAGAGGAAGTAGAACCTTGGGAAGGAGCTCCTTTTCGTCTCGAGGTAGTCGTTCAGTCCCTTCTGTACCACGTCAAGCATCTTGTTGCACTCGACGAAGTTCGCCTTCAGGTTCTCGATCGCCATGACCTGCAGCACCTGCGGCGCCTGGCTGGCCGCGTCCATGGTGGCCCTCCAGATCTGGTCCACCTTCTGAAACCTGCGGCCCTCAGTCGGCATCTGCCGCATGATGTCCGGGGAGGCGAAGATGGGCTCGAGGTAGAGCCAGGTCTTCTGCAGCTTCAGCCACTCGTCCAGTACTTCCTGCATGTAGAACAGCCGGTGGTTCCACTCCAGCACCACGTTCTCCAGCGCCTTGGCGTACGGCGACCCTCTCATGGCCTGCACCTTGACGATCTGGTCGTCCAGCAGGGTTATGATGTCATCAACAGCCCGCACGACGAACGTCCCTGTGTCCTTGTAGGGCTGCAGCTCGAAGGTCAGGTCCCGCCAGTCTTGCTTCATCCTCTCCAGGTTCCTCTCGAACGAGTACTCCTTGCTTGCCACCTCGGAGATCTCCGTGATCACGTCCCCGTACTTCTCGATCCCAAGCTCCAGCATGTACTTGAGCGTCAGCGACACGTCCGGTTTTATCTCCACCCCGACCGTGGTTGACAGCTGGGCCCAGTGCCGGTCGCGCATGCCGGGGGTGCGGAGGCCCTGGATGATGGGGAGGTAGGGCTTGAACTGGTCCAGCTTCTCCTTGAGGATCTTGGCGACCTGCTGCGGCTCCTTCTTGCCCTCGAACGTTCTCTCAGCCTTGAAGGCGTACTTCCACCACTGCATCACGTTCTGCTCGATCGTCTCGGCGTCCAGGGAGGTGAAGGGCCCGTACATCCAGTTGGGGAAGGAGCTGTTGAAGGCCGCGGCGATGGTCCAGAGGTTGGCGTACGGCTCGAAGTCCTTGGAGATCCTGTCAATGTCTTCAAAGTCCGTCACCTCCAGGTTGAACAGTTTCTCCCTGGAGTTGACCAGCACCGCCTTGTCCTTGGCCTCTTTGAGCCTCATCTGGAGCAGCTGCACGTTGCCGGCGTACTCCTCCGCCGAGTCGAAGTCGGAGTAGGTATAAAGCTTCTCGATCTCCACCTCCACAGAGGACAGCTCTTGCTTGAACTCCACCGTGCTCTCGTGCAGCTCCTGCATGAACTTCATCCTCTCCTCTTCCTGCCTCTCCTGCGACTCGGCCCTGATCCTGATCACGTTGGACGGCTGCCCAAAGACCTCCCAGAACACTCCAACGTCGTGCTGGCTGATCTCAAACTGGAAATCGTTGAGCAGCTCAACATCCTTGCCGATGTCGGCGATCTCGATCTCCAGCTCGTTCACTTCCACGTGCAGCCCAGCGATGTACTCCTGCAGCTCTGAGAGCTCCTCCGCGGACCTCGGGATCTTCTTGATACGAGCGACGATGCCGTCGAAGTGTTCCTTGGTCGAGCTGCTCCTCTCAACCATCTGCCTGGAGACGCTGAGCAGGATCCGCTGGCTGACGTCGTTGACCTTCCCCTGCACGTCCTGCTTGAACTGCTTCAGCGCGATCTGGTGCATCCTCAGAGGGACTGAGTGCGGGAACAGATCTTGGATCTTGTCCATGGAGCTCTTGAACCGCAGGATCTCAGCCCTGACGTCGGAGAGCGGGTGTGCGTTCTCCTGGAACTCGAGCATGTACTTGTCCGTGTCTGTCGTCACCAGGAACATGTGCGGGTCCAGCAGGTGGAGGAGAGCTCGGGGCGCGAAGAAGCTGTCGGCAATGCTGGCCTGGACGGAGTGGATGCAGTCAACGAAGAAAGGGTCCTGGGGGTTGAGGAAGACTAGTTTCTTCTGGTCGGGGATGGCGTCGATGACGTCGATGGAAAAGGGAGGGAGGTCGTTGAGCTTGGCGAGCATGGAGTGAATCACGTCGGCAACTCGCGCCTGGATCGTCTCCTCCTGCGGGAGGAAGCCGACGGCCAGCTCGTCCGACGAGTAGGTGACGGACAGGTTGAAGATAGGCGGCCACTGACAGAGGGTCCCGTAGACCAGGTTCGCAGGAAGCTGCTCCTGTTCCCCCCAGAAGTTTCCCTTGGCGTCCTGGCCGTCGGCAGGGCGGGGAAGTCGGTTGAAGGACTTGAAGTGCAGGGTGAACTTCTCGACGTCTCGCATCACCGCAGACCGCAGGATGTCCGCTAGCATCTTGTTCGCAAGCACGCAGAGACGCATGTACTTGACCCGGCTTGACGCCTGCATCGTGTGCTCAGGCCCGAACAGGTTCTCCTCCTCCGAGTAGGCGCTCAGCACGGCGTCGCTCATGGAGTCCATGACAACTTCCATCATGTGGTTGATGCTGCTGGTGAACGCTGAAGTGTGCAGCTCAACAAACTCGTCGATGGTGACGGTCCTGCTCATGGTCCACAGGAAGTCGCACTTGTATATGCTCATGGCATGCTTCCGGATCGTCTGCAAGGCCTTGAGCATGAATCTCGAGGACCACGACAGGTTGTTCTCCACAGACCCGCGCGAAGATCGGAAGTTGCCCTTGACCTCAGTCAGCGTGTCATGGATGGCAGAGACTGACAGGTCCTCGGGGAAAGGCCTGACGAAGCAGGCCCCGAATCCAGGCAGCCGGATGTTGCGGGGGGGGAGGCGGCGTTCTCCCTCCACAAAGATCGGGTCGACCATGTGCCGAGGGTCGTCGGCAGGGTAGGAAACTCTGTGGTAGACCAGGTTCATCGTCCTTGCATACTGGTGCAGCACTTCCTCTACCAGCAGCTGCTGCCCCTTCACGCGCTCTTGCCACACCTTGGACGCCCCAAGCCGCTGCACCACAGCATGGAACTGCTGGGGGAGGAGCTGCTGAGCCTGTACAGTCGACATCTTGTCGACGATGCGCTCGTAGCGAAAGATCTCCTCACATCGCTTTCTGTTGTCCAGCGCCTGCAGCCGGCGCCTTGTCACGTGGTCCACTGACTCGAAAGGGTGGAAGCAGATATTCAGCCTGCTGACCCACTTCTGCTTATCGTTGCACAGCCACTGTATGAGAAACGAGGCATCCTCCGTCCTATGGTCGAGGACCCTGCACGGCTGCCAAGAGGAGGTCCCGTCGTTGTAATGCCACAGGGACAGAGCTACCTTATCGCTCTCCTCCTCCTGGTCTGAGAACTGCACGAAAGCATCGGTCTCAAACGTGTGATCGTCGAAGTAGTCCAGCGGGAAGAAAGAAGGAGTCTGGAGCTTGGAGTCCTCTGAGTCCTTGTCTTGCAGCATCATGTTCAGATCATGCTCTTCCTTCTCCCTCGCAACTGCCTTCACAATCTCGTTCAAGTCCGTCGTCGTTTTCTGTGTCCACTTTGTTTGCGCGAAAGAGCGGTTCTTGGTCTTGTCAAGCCGCACGGTGTCGGTGGAGCCGATCAAGCTCTGGAGACCATGCAGCGACCGCTTGCTCAGGGTGTGTCTTGGAACATCGACCTCGCGCTTCTTGCTCCCGATGCTGGGCGGTTTGTACGTGTGCTTGACGATGCTTCTATCGTTCTCCTCGAACTCCACGAAGCTTTCTAATGCTCCGTCCTTCTCATCTGCTCGGGCGTCTACATCGGGCCCGCGCGTCTTGGCACTCGCAAAGGGAAATTTCTTGACGGTGTCCTTGACTAGGTACGTTGGCTCCTTCAGTTTCTATCAACATGGTCAGAGTGCTGACGTGCCTTCCAACGAGCTGCCAGTGCCCTACCTTCATCTCCATCTCCACCTTGCTCGGGAGCTCCCTGGCGAGTGTGACCCTGGCTGCTGGTTGAGAAGAGGAGGGGAACAGCATCAAGATCGACCTCCACTCGCCCACTTTGGGCTGTTTGGTGACCATGGAATGCTTCGTTGCAACGAATCCTGTTAGTCCACGAGTCAGCCAGCTAGCAGCGGTGATGGAGGAGGGGGAGGAGGATTGATCACCCTTGTCCGTTGGGATAGACTGATCCTTGTCAGACTTGGCATCCTCGAACTGTCCGGTTACGAGCAGTCATATAGAGCGTTGAAGACCAATGCGAATTCAACCTTGATGAATCGATGGAAAGCATCTTCAGTCCTCTTCGGCCTGTCTTCAGGGATGGCGCCTTGCTCCGTCTCGCTCATTGTTGTTCCTCGTCTTTCATACCTGGTCCAAGCACAAAGGTCACAGCCCTTCAACTTGTAACATGACCTAGCAGCAGCGATCTAGGAATCGATCATCACTTTCCATCCTCCTGGCCCTTATGTGTTCTTGATCCAGCTACATCACCAGTAAGCCTCCTCCTCTCCCCATGTTCCTCGGATCGAATTGTCGTATCCTACACAGTCTGCTCCTCCTCTCTTTCCTTCTGCTCCTTCTCTCTTTCCTTCTCTTCCCCATTTTAACCGCAGCCGTTGACTAGTTTTTCAACCCGCGCCTCGCTGACCATGGGTGACCCCTACTTCTGTACACCCCACCTATCCAAAGAAGGGAAACAATATACCAAATGACCCGTACTGATGGCCTACCCTACCCCGATGAAATTTGTCAAACCTTGTCACTAAAACATACTGCCCGGTACCGTGACACAACATGGACCGGGCCCCGGGCCCGTGGGCGATAGTCACTGAGTACTAGGAGATCAGCGAGAGAGCGAGAGAAGCGGCGGAGATGGTAACTATCTACTTCTGTAGTACTTGCTAGGTGCTTAGATGAGACTACTAACAGTGTGCTTAGAGGAGATGGTGAGTATTCTACTTTCTGAGTGCTTAGAGGAGATGGTATCTACTTTCTGAGTGCTTAGAGGAGATGGTGACTATTCTACTTTCTCAGTGCTTAGAGGAGATGGTGACTATCTCTCTTTACTCAAAGTTAAGTTAAAAATCTGTAGTACTTGCTAGGTGCTTAGATGAGACTACCAACTGTGCTTAGAGGAGATGGTGACTATTCTACTTTCTAAGTTCCATCTCTCCGAGTCAGTCTCTGAGTGCTGGTTCTTGAAGCGAGGCTCGATGAACTTGTTAGGAGAGACGTCCAATCACATTCATTGCAACAATAATTGCATTGCTATCTTGAAACTGTCTGTACCGGCCCAGAACGCCGGCTCGATTATTATCGCAGCATCTCGAGAACTTGCGTCATGGTGGGTCTGTCGCTGCTGTTGTGGCAGAGACATCTGGCCATGAGGTCGGAGATCTTCCTCGTTGACGTGCTAGGGATTTCAAGTTTCTTCTGTCGGATGCAGACGGCGGTGATGACCTGCATGGCACGTCAAGGCTCGATCAAGGCATGTACTCATGACCTCAATCGCGTTTGTGCATTCAGAGTGAGGAATGAATGCGGTTTCAATCTGGCAAACAGGCGATATCACAACTTCGCAAACAAAGTGCAGCAAAAACCTCCCACAACACAACCCCAAAGCTGTACACATCTGCTCTGATGTAATCTTCCGGCTGAGTGACGACGTCAGATGAGAAGAAGGCAAGCAGCGAAGTAGTCTCGTTTGCTGACTCACATTTTGACACTCTCCTTTCAAGATCTCAGGTGCTGACCATGCAGGAGTACCGATGCTTGCTCCTGCTGTCGTCGTGACGCTTCCTATTTCTTTTGACAACCCAAAATCACAAATCTTGCAAGCATTCTCTGTCGTCAAGAGAACATTCAAGCTCTTGAAGTCCCTATGTGCAATCTGCAAACCTGATCACTCCTTTCTGTTTCAATCAACAGTTTGATCTCACCTCTTTTGCATGAAGGTATTCGAGACCGAAAGCAAGCTCCGTCATGATTCTAACACGTTCTGCCTCAGCCGGGACTCCGTACGTGTCGAGGTGATCCCGCAAATCTCCTCCCTGCCTCCTTGTCAGCATCATCCGACTCACAAGCACTTGACCTGTACACACCTGGGCTAGTTCGGTCACTAGGATCGGACTAGTAGGGTCGTCGGTACAGATCCCGAACATGCGAAGGACGTAGGGGTGAGACAGGCGGCAGAGCAGGTCCATCTCTCTGGAGAAATTGTCCTGAGCTTTGCGCATCTGAGTCATGTTGTATCCTCGCATGTCAAAAACTTTGGCGCAAACTGCCTGGTTGGAGTAGGTTGCACGATACATCAAGCAAGACCCTCCCTTAGCAAATGGCTCTGCCTCCAGCTGTAGCTGCGAGGCAGGGATGGAGAAGCGCTCGAGGTTGGAGGATCGCCGCTTCAAGGACGCTTCTTTCCCGCTGAGACGGGTTGCTTGCTCCAACACCTTGTTCACATCACTCCGCAGACTCTGGATCTCACCTGGGACAAGCATCACAACTATCTAATGAAGCTTATCCATCACCTCCCAGACTCTGCAGCTGTTCCAACACAGGTCAGCTGCCTATCCATCTGAGGAAGCAGTGAAGAGCGATGCAGGATCTGGTTGACTTCTATGCGCGTGTCTGCCTGCAGTCGGCGCATGAGGTTGCTTGTCACGAGCTCCAACTGAGCTTGCACTTCCTTGGACTGGGTCTGTCTCGTCATGTTCAGCAAAGTTGAAGTCTCAGACTCATCACGTCTCACAAGGAAATTCTTCGAGGTCCAGAAGGCTAACAAGCTGCCGGCAACCCCCCGCGACTTTTCATGGCGAGATGTGATCAGGTCGCGATATTGCTTAAGCTTGTGCAGAACTTGGTCAAGCAGCTGCTTCGTGATGCCATCCAGTCCCTTCACTTGCTCAGCAAGCCTGGCAAGGCTGACCATCACCCCGGAGCACCAGGCGGACATTCTTTGACACTCTTGCTCGGCAGCCCTGTAGATGTCAACATGCCTCTTGATTTCACTGAGGACCTCGAAGATGCTTCCAAAGATCGGAGCTGCTTTGCCAATACTTAACACACAGTTTGCAACGCTTCCAGCTACATCTTGCACCCAAGGTGTTCCTGTAAAGACCATGTCTTCAAGGTCTGAGGTCTTGTCATCCAAGGATGACAGGTCAGACATCAAGTTAGCTTCTTTGCTTTCCTTAGGGTTGGATGAAGAGCTTGATAATTTTGCCCGTTGTCTTCGTCTTCTGTAAAAATAAACACCAGAGGTGACGATGACAACAGCTGCTGCTCCGCCAATTATCGCTCCAATAATAGCGACGCTCGGAGAGGATGACTGTGCTGTTGAAAAACTAGTATCACAATCATGACCAAGATGTTTGTCAAAATCAATGGATCGGCAGGGAGGAACGCAAAAAACACAATTGTTCTCACAAAGAATATGAATTCGAAATACTTTGAGTGGATGCGGCGGCAGCAGCAGGAGGAGTTAAACTTATTTGCGACGTGTTAGGCGCTGACAGAAGAGATCAACTAAAGCAGAAGAGGTCGAGAAAGGGATAAAAATAATGCAACAATCATTCGTGTGTGATATTCTGAAACAAGCCTACCCGGCATTGACAAGGTTGTGGGTGCCGCGGTTGTTGTCGCTGGTATAAACAGATCAGATCATGAGAAGCACAACGACAACCTTGGAGGTGAAAACGAAAGAACATGGTCAAACAACAAAACTTCTTGGAGTAACCTTGTGGTTGGACGGATGGAGTGATTGCCAATGAGTAAGTCGTATCCGAGGTACAAACACAATCGCATGGTCCTGAGATGCTTGGATACTCGCATGCTATTCCAGTCTCAACCAAACAAGGGCATAGAGAACAAGTTTGGTCTAAAAGAATTTTTCGAACTGAACTTTGAACTGAGGAGTTTGCATCCAAGACGTACAACCATGGAGTGGCATCCGACATTGCTAACTTGGCTGGATAATAGAAAGTTGCTGTTGATGCTCCCCCATCTTGCGAGCCTACTTGACCCGAACCAGCCAGCCTGTAGGTAGTTCCGTCTTGGATGGACACTTTTCTTACCTGACTGTTGAATCCATCAGCAACATAGAGCCACAGCCCGTCCTTTGACACGGCGATGTCGAAACCGTACACGAGCGACACGGGCGGCATGACGGGAGGAGCGACCAAATTCCAAACGTCAACACCAGGCAAGGCAGTGACTTTCCCATCAAGGAGAGAAACCTTTTTGATTCGAAAAGTGCTGTAATCGGCGACGTACAAGAAATCGTTGCTCGGAGACACAGCCACATTTTGCGGAAAATTCAAGTTGACGGAGTTCAAGGTGTGCACGACACAACTGTTAGGCGATGCGAATATATCAGAGATAGCAGGGTTGTAGACGATCACCCGGACTGCATGGTTCTGTGTGTCGGCCACGTAAAGGCATTCTTGTACTGCAGGGCAAGGATCCACGCATGTAGCAGTGTAGAAAGCATCCCTGCGGCACGTTCCCGTAGCCATCCCAGTGGGATAGTTGAAAGCTGAATCTTTGCACGTCCCGTCCAGGTATCCGGGCTGGAGACGACTACTAGCAAAGATAATCGTTTGTGAACTCACGATTAAACCGCCTGTGGTAGTGTTCAAGAACAATCTCATTATCTGATGCATCCCCGTGTCTGAAATGAAGATATTCTCTGCATTCACTGCAAGTCTACATCTTGGAGGTCGTCCGGCTGCGGTCTCTTCAAATGCAGGAGACTGATAAATCATCGTTCCCTGCATTCCTTCTTGAAAAGCAGTGACCTGCCAGATAGATCCGTCCATTCCAAACAGATACAATGATTCTCCGTCGTGCGAGGTCGCAAGGTCAGCGTCACACAAAACCGAAGAGTGTATTGACGTTGTATGAGAGCGAACGACACTCTCAGCCACCGACCCGCTAGCCTGGCTCTGGCATGTTGAAACACATGTTGAGTGCCATACGTTGGTGCAAGTTCCCCCTCCTGGCCATGGTATCACTTCAGAGCTGTAGACCGAAGGTGCCTGGCGCCAGACGAGCAGGAGAGCTACTCGGATGCGCGACAGCAGCATGGGCCTGCCATGGCGTTGCTTCAGTCTTGGGCGGGTGGACATGCCCCCGGTAACTCGATGCTGGAACCTGGCTGGAACCTGGTTGGAAATTTCATGGGCAAAAAATCCAAACAGATTTCAAAAGCTGTGTCAGAAATATTAAGGCTAGCAACAATAATTTGAAAACATGTGAACAAATATAGAACGTAATGAGATACAGTAAATAGGCCCGGGACTTACAAATCACATTTAGGGAATGACTCACCAGCAGGAATGACCCGCAGGAATGACCAGCAGGAATGACCAGCAGGAATGACCAGCAGGAATGACCAGCAGGAATGACCAGCAGGAATGACCAGCAGGAATGACCAGCAGGAATGACCAGCACGCGGCAGGAATGACCAGCAGGAATGACCAGCAGGAATGACCGTACCAGCAGGAATGACCAGCAGGAATGACCAGCAGGAATGACCAGCAGGAATGACCAGCAGGAATGACCAGCAGGAATGACCAGCAGGAATGACCAGCCTGGCAGCAGGAATGACCAGCAGGAATGACCAGCAGGAATGACCAGCAGGAATGACCAGCAGGAATGCCATGATGACGCCACTGGGCCACTGGCCAGGACTGATGACCCTGGCAGCAGGCCTGACCCCCGGGGCCGCCGAAATGGGGCCCGGCCAGTCCGATCCGACCTGGCACCGCCGGGTTTCGTCCAATGCCAAAGCCTGACGAGCACAATGAATGAGAAACAGTGTCACACCGTTCAAATTTCTAAGCCTACCGGCACAACAGTCGGCTCTCAGGCCGGAGGCTCGCCGTTTGGCCTGTGCGACAGTCACTGAGTGTCCGATCAGGGACTTGATTTTTAACTTAACGGAAGTTTGACGGTAAAGGATCACCGATTCTACCGTGAGTCTACAAGTGGAACTGATTTGCCACTGGCTGGAATTTCTTGACTCCCGGCCCGGCCCCGGCCCGGTCACCCGGGTTCCGGGCCAGGCCGGGGGTCAGGGCCCCGGTGACCGTAAGTCACTGAGCCTCCGCGCCCGGCATGGGACCGCCCGGTCGGCCCCCCGGGCCTGATGAGAAAGCAGATGAGGCTAGCGTGAATGGAGGATGCTGCCTGAGGAGAGGAGAGAGGAGAGAGGAGAGAGGAGAGGAGAGAAGAGAGAGGAGAGAGGAGAGAGGAGAGAGGAGAGAGGAGAGAGGAGTGAGAAGAGACAAAATATCGTATGACATTGTATTTCTTCTAGATGGTGCGGCAGGCTCGGTTGTTGCCCATGCTCTTCATCCCAGCCGTTCACTCCTTCTCCATCTCTCTCCATGGCTGCAGGTAGCATGCACACGTCTCTTCTCCTGTTCCTCACCCTCAAGCCAGGATGCTCTCACTCCGCTCTGCCCTGTCAAGGCGAGGAGAGGAAGGGTCCTTGCTCAAGGCGCTCACCCTGATGTCAGGACGCACGCTCGACACTTGTCAACTCAGAGGATGTGCGATGGTACCTCCTCTCCTTGCGCTGACCCTCCTCTACTTGCGCTGACCCTCCTCTCCTTGCGCTGACCCTCCTCTACTTGCGCTGACCCTCCTCTCCTTGCGCTGACCCTCCTCTCCTTGCGCTGACCCTCCTCTCCTTGCGCTGACC